AATGGGACAACGACTGGCTCCAAGCCTTGCCATTGCATTTATGTCTGAGGTGGAAGCACCGGTGACTGATCTCGGGCCGCTACTCTACTGTAGGTATGTAGACGACTGCTTTGTCCTTTGCTCAACACAAAAGGAAATGGACAAATGCTTCGAATTGTTAAACGCACAGTCAGAGTATATCAAGTTCACCCGAGAAAAGCCGAAAGAAAAATGGCTTCCATTTTTGAACGTACAAATTCACCTATCAGAAAATGGCTACATTACAAAGTGGTACCGAAAGCCAAGTAGTAAAAACATCTTGGTTCATTACCTCTCCTCTCACCGCTCTCACACGAAAAGGGCGCTTATAAAAAACATGTTTCGAACAGCAACCAACGTGTGCACGGGAAGAGAGCAGAGAGAGAAGTCCCCGAACTTGGCACGGCAAATAGCCATTTCTAATGGCTACGAAACTGTAGCTCAGGATAGGTGTAGAGGAAATCGTAGGCCTCCAAACGACAACTCTAGCGATAGAAGGGTTCCGTTTATCCTACCCTTCATCTCAAATGACATAAGTACAGCTATAAAACGCTGCTTAAGAAGGGCGGGCTTAGAGAATTCGGTGAGCGTAGTTGAAATACCACCGAGTAATCTTAAGCGCCAGCTAGTTCGTAACCGCCTATATGACCGTCTATGTGCAACTCAAAATTGCATAATTTGCCCCAGTGGTAGAGACGATGATTGCATGAGCTCGGGTATAGTTTGTCTGATCTCCTGCAAGACGTGTGGTGACGAATACATTGGCGAAACGGGTAGACCCCTCTGTGTTCGCATGAAAGAACACCTAGCCGGCAAAAATAGACCAAATACCCCGCTAGGCACGCATAGGACCCAGAGACATAACGGGGACGACTTCGAAGTATGTGTCACGATCCTCGCACGCGAATCGAGAACACAGGCGCGAAAAGCTCTCGAGGCACTCTAGATTAATTCCAGAAATCCGAAAATGAACCGCAGGGAAGAATGCCTCATTATCACGCGTGATATAGGGCAGTATATAAGACTGCTTTTCTGATATGAGGGGCACATTATACTTCCACGTGATTTCTGTGCGGTTGGTCTCTACGTGACATACTTAGTGGAAACCTCATGGGAAGCGGTGAGTGTGCAAAGCTGTGTTCAAAGTGATTGAAATCTTGGTTTGGAGTTCCTTTGTTTGGTTATGGAGGCGTCTGGCCGAGTGGATTGCTATTAACTTGACCTTTCCAGGCTCTGAGGAAGGCGAAATCCGCCGAAACGTCAGCTTAATCGTGAACAAAGAATAATAACACCTCGCGTTTGCTCAACAAAAATACGAAGAAAAGTACTGGCTTAGTTTCAAAAACTGGCAGGAACAATCCTATGGAACGCACATCAAGACTTCATTCGCAATACCAAGATAAGCTACGCTCAGCGTGCCGATAACACAGTAACCAGCGGATTGAGGATTGTAGAAAGAAATCCAGGAAAGGTAGGAGATCTATGGTAGGATAGTGCTGTGAATGATGTCTATAATAGCTTAATCACACTTGAAAAAGAGTTAGATCGCCTAGGAAGCAAACAATCCCATCGTCATCAATCAATGACACCACCTAACTGGTATGTCTTCAACGAGCGTTCAGTAACAACTAAGCGACTTCTGCGTTTACGATGCTTTAAAGGATTGCGACAGGAAGGTCTGAGAAGCAAAAAATAACCTCGAAAACGAAACAGAAGTTGTCGCAAGCAAAAGATAATCCGACGAAGCATTGCTACCACAATGATGAGAAAATACAATGATTGCAGCCAAGACATTTTCCATGTTCATATACGACATCTACTTGGAAGTCTTCGGAGTAGTCATCTTCACGTAGTATTCAACGCAAACAGCAGAAAGTTGGCACTGTTCCACATCGATGTTTGTAGACAATGTTTCCTACAAAATACCGAATGTCTGCATACACTTCTCAAACGATTTAACAGTAACTTTTTATACAAGCTATTGCACCGCTTCCTCACGTAATTTTTATAGCTGCCGCAGTATCGCTGCCAAACTTGCTTTCCGAAAGAGTTACTTGTTGCATCGTTTTCGTATGAGTTTTCCGTGCAAGCAGCTCAATCAGATTGCACTAACTGAGAAACTTCCTAGAATTTCTCTTTAAGCATTAAACCTAATCTCTTCTCAGGATCGACTTTCTATTAATCTCGGCATTTGATTGCAAAACTGTCGCCTTCTTTTTTACAGCAATCGCGAGGTTTTTATTCAGTAGATGTTTACTTCCTTACACACACAACACATTCAACGCAACGCTTCTTTCACAAATTTCTTCTTTTCATAGTTATTCCATAATATTTTCGTCCTTTTTTCATAATTTTTTTCCCTTTTTCTTTCGTAATTATCGATGTTTGGGTGTTATATGACTGAGATATTTCCCGTTGTGTTCTTCAAAGACAGCATAAAAGGATAAAGCTTTCGGTGTTGGTCAAGCGACTGAATGCATATCTGGCTTTTACAATGATTCACGGTGGCCTACCGATGTATTGAGCCTGCGCTGCTGTCTTCTCAGACAAGTGTGGTACCAATTTGCCTACCCCGGTGGTATAGAAGGTTAGGTGGCCCATGGACGCAGGGATCGACTCCACGTGTGCGTTACAGAGCGCCTCCGACCACTGCGGCACACGCGCCCATGGGCAAACACAAGGTTGGTATTATAGCATATATTAACACAGAATAGCTGATGTTTCGTCGGTTTCGCCTTCCACATAATAATGGAAAGGTCAAATTGGCATGCAACCTAGTCAGTCAAACACTTTCATAACCTCAGTAGAAAAAGCATAATAAGGTATATATGACAAATAGCATATATGATAATGTGGTGTTGCCTCTCCGCGTTTGTATAAAAGAACATCTAGTCTGTCAATTTAGGGTTAAACCGAAATATTTAAGCTGGAGCCCATAGCGCACAACGCAACGGAGAAGATTTTCAAGTAAAAGTCTCTCACCAGAATCCATCATCAGGGTGAAAAAGTTTTAAAGCGTTATAGAGTAATTCCAAAAATCCAAAAATGAACCGCTAGAAGGAGTGTCTTGTGACCGCGCGTGACCTAACGCCATACCACAGACTGATTCTCTGACCTGAACCAGGCACATTCCACGCCTATGTAGGACTCTGTGCGGCTGGTCTCCACCAAGTACCTGGAGATTTGCGACGAAAAAAACGTGTATAAAAGAAGTTGTTTATTACGCGAATAAAAAATTATGTAATGACTCATAGCTGATGAGGTTATGAAAGTTTGGCTGAGTAGATTGCAAATCAATTTGGCCTTTCCTAGCTCTGAAAAAGGCTAAACCGCCGAAAGGTCAGTTATTATGGGCTAACAAAGTTATTGCAATAACCTTGTGTTTGCTCATGAAGAAAAATAGTGAGTTATTGATCAATATCGAAGTTAAAAAAAAGTCGGCCTTCGGGCCCGTTTAATACTGTATTGTTATTATTACTGCAAACTGTTATAACTCGGTATCACAAGCAACAAAAGGTTTGCTCTGTGTAGACATCAAAAACTCCGCGTGGTAAACCAGTACGAAGTCAAGCATTCTATCTAGAACTAGTAATTATTTTGGTCTGACAACTAACTCAGACTACTGTGTCCCACCAAGCCAATTCACTACAATTTTGGTGCATTGGGCAGAATGCTCCATGTTGAAAGCCACGTAGGTGCTTGTGAAGACAAGGGTGGCGACTTTACTGCCCTTCGCTCGATCCACGACGATATCGCAAAAGATAAAATGGTAGTGGAGCAGCAGTGTCATAATGTGACAATGTGGTACTGGTAGAGCGGTTCAGCTCCTCACCCAATGTGACATATAATATTTACAACTCTCTATATGGTTTAATCAACTGCTGCTTTTTTCGACACTGCTACAGGTGTCTTCGATTGGCGAACAAAACAAAACCAGTTCCATTTCATGAAGATTAAAACCAGATTTAGTGAGTACCGAAACAATTTTCAAGCCGGCCTTGAAACAACATTAAATATTACTATATACTATATATTATTTGTATTATACTACCTTCTTTTATTTAGTACCTACAGAAATTTTCACGGGTGGGTATTATGCGAAATCGACCACAATGATGCTGAGATATTCGCAAGATTTAAACCTGGAGCCGGATGGAACCACGATTTCCCTTCCCGGGGGTTCGCGCATTACACGCTACGCCACGGAGGCCTTTGCTCTGCGGCTCTCTCGGCTAGTTTTTTTTATCAGCCTATGCCAACAGCAATTACCAGTCAACGGGGTTGATCTGAGGGTTCCACATTGGCATTGAACCCAGTTCAGAGCGATTGATGACAGCACTGGTTGATAGAAAAACTAGCTGGGAGAAACGCAGAACAAGAGCCGCCGTGGCGCAGCTATATTACATTATGTTTACTTAGTACTTCATTATTATATTAAATTATATACTGCCACATTTAGTGTTTATTTCCAGCACAGTTAAAATGAACATTCATCCTATGTCATTATTAAACTACGTTTACTCCTGCCATAGGTTAGCTTAAACTAATCGAGCTAAAATGGTTGAAACCTAATAAAAGAAATAGTACTTTTCTGCTCTACTTCGCCGGGTATTCCAGCAATATTGGCTATTCAAACAAAATTCGCTCTTTATTCCGAAAATAATAGGATTTCAGGACTGCGTGCGAGGTTTTCCGGAAGCGTGTCGGGCGTGGACGATTCTTGTCGCTGGGCTAGTGGATCGACTTCGTGCTGCACCTCGTCGATGCAGTTACGTTCCGTTGGCGTCTGGTCAAAATTCCATAATCAATTCTACACTCAGCGTCAGTTCATTGGAGTTAAGGTAAATTGTCTTTTTTGGGCAAAATTTGCCTTTCGAAGGGGAGATTTGCACTGAAAACGCTAAAATGGTAATAGGTAGAAATGTATTCGGGAAACACACTGGTTAGAGTTGTCGTGCAATAATACACGCAAGGTCTCTGGTTTGAGTGCCTGGGTCATACAAATCTCCATTCCCTCAAGTGTGAAAATGAATAGCAGAAATGCATGGAGGAAATCTAAATGCACTTCACAATTGCTAGCGATGGCCTGTGGTGGAAACCTAATTGATCTGATGAAGCTATTCTGGAGTTCGAATGAAAATCAGCTCGAACGGTATTTATCAACGCTAACAAAGAAAACGGGCGGATAGCGCAGTGATAGTGATATCCGTCATCACGAGCACGGTTTTATTTCGATTCCGTTCTAGGCCTACTAAGCCTCCCATTCCTCCGGAGTTGTGAAGTTTGTAATGGATTTGTCTGGAAAAAAATCACCCTTTGCAATCCAATTGCGAATGCTCGAGCACGGCTATCTCGAGACTCCAGGACGAATTGCTTGACCAGAATTCCACGGTAAATGAAAAATCCTCAAGCAGCAACCGAAGCTACACTTAAACTTGAAGTAAAAAGACCGCCATGGACGATGTATGCGGGGAAACGAATCGAATGTGGGAAGTGCTAGGATCCGCGCAGTAGACGTGAAGACGATTCAAAATAAAATAAAATAAAGTAAAGAAAACAAAGTAACGATGTGAATAGCGAACCAACACGGAAATTGGAAGAACTTCATGGTAGACGGACGAACGAACCGAATCAAAGAAGTGCTTGGATCCATACAATATATGAAATCGGGTTACATAAAGAAGGAAAAGAATGAGTATTTTGAAGGAAAAGGAATTGAAAAAAAACGCGAACAATATGCTCGAGGCATTCTGAGAAGTATCAAATGACATATTTAAATCGAGACCTATTCACACTAGAAAAAATAAGCTCAATACAGCCAATCTCTCTCTACAGCTTAAACACAAGCGCTTTAAACCTTTTAAATTTTTTTTAGACGAAGAACTACCATAGTAAACATCGCTGCCAGTCAACACAGCGCCAATGATAGCACTAGAAGCGAAATCGCAGAGTGGCCTCCCAGGTAGCAGCCATTTTTCGTTTGTGGTATCGCAATGAGCCAAGTGACATGAATACGTTGTGAATACTTTGGCAGAAGTTTATACTTAAAATTTTTCAGGAGGTTTGATCATTGTGGAACACCCCAGTCACTTCCCGATATTGAAATAGCAGCTTTAGAAAAGGCACTTCCGCACGTCCGATCAAGTAATCCGGCGTTAGCTTCAATAAACTGAAAGCCTTTGATTTGCTATCTGCAGCTATGTGGTTTCACTTTTTGCTACCATAATCCTTCAGTCGCTATCATCATCCTTAATTTTCATGACGTCATTGTAAATAACTACTAAAATGACGCTAATCGAGAAGTGAACCGATTGTTTCGTGCAATGGATCCACCCGCTGAATAGAGACCTACCAAGTTTTACGTTATTCCGGGTTGTGGTGGCATATTTGTACTTCTATGTATAAACGAGAAAACGAGAAAAATCTGCTTTTGTGACTTGGGCATCAGTTGTGTGCTGCGAGTATAACTAGACCTTCTTCATGCCTTTTTTACCTGGATGTTTACAAAGAAAATTGTTAAAACTGTCGCTCATAGCTGTACATTCCAAATTCCAGTTTTAGCACGCTTTAATAATCTACCTCATGTTGTTGTTATACAAGTGTTTTTCGTAATAAAAATTGTCAGAAACCAAAAACGCGTGTGTAGAACTGAAACTCTGGAAAGAAACTTGCTTTTCAAATTCGACTAGTGCGGAATTTTATAGTGGCCGTACAGCGATGTTTCTTTTCGATTGAGGCAGTGTAGAGAAAACGTTCTGCAAAACATCCCTGGTTCGACCCACACCCCAAGCAAATAAAGCCCACAATACCTCCAGTGTTGGTGCATTGGTGCAAAACTTGTATGGTGAGATTAAAACATTCTTGATACATCGGTAAGTCAGGTGAGCCATTATGTAGACCAGGTAATTCAATTGTGTCTACAATATGTTTCTGAATTTTTGAGCTTAAACAAAGTTGATAAAGATATAACTCGCATGAAGTGCTGAGATATTTGCAAAACTCCGGACCACGGGTGTATGCAGTGGTCCGGAGTTTTGTAAATATCTCAGCACTTCATACGAGTTATATTTCACAACATACCCTGCCATTAAGAAGAAAAAGGCAGTAAATAAAAGAGTTAAGGTTGATAAAGATATTTATATCTGCTAACGTTTCGACGTCTTCGCCTTCATCAGAACCGATGATCCGAGTCGGTGGTCCACAGTTGTTTGTGAACTCGATATGGTGTCTTCGAAGTAGTACGGTCACGACATAGTTATGTTTGTTAACAAATCTTTGTTTGAGTGTTTATTTTGATTGCTATGTTTACAGTGTTGTGAATGGAGAATGTGAATTCACGGCGCAATACACAAATATGGACTTTCTAGAATTACAACGAAGCAGTGACATGTCATCCCACGTTTCCTTTAAGATAGCTATAACTTATGAGGCAGGATGAGGAAGGAAGAAAACTACCGGTTTTCTTATTTAAGGGCTATACCGAGAGCAATCACAATTTTTATTTGATATAGACAGTATTCGATTCTCACAGATCTAATCTAAACGAAAAGCACACCGAGGGTCTAACTGTCGTCAAATAGAGATAAGAAACGTGGTAAAAACAGCATGGATGAAATCCTTTTGTTACACTGCTTTCACGTAGAAGAAAGTCCCACTGTTGTCTAGTGAGGTCACACGAAAGAGCATGGTGCGTCGTTTTGCACAGATATGAACCGTGTCACCCAGTATCAGCCGTCCTGTCAGAGTTGCGCCGCGGAAAATGGTTACTGATTCTCATGACCGACTTTCTGTTAACCTCGGCATTGATTGATAGTTCGATGTTCTTCTTCAATAAGCAGGCACGAGTAATACATGGGCGAGGTCTGTGCGGCTGCTATCCACCAACTAATTGAAATACTTACGAGTAAACGGCTCTCAAAAAGGCGAAACTGTCGAAACATCAGCTATTGTATCCTAATAAATTCTATAATAACAACCTCGTGTCTGCTTATTGAAGGAAAACATCGAATTGATCCAAAACGCTTCAAGAGTTTGATTACTGATTGATCGGTTGACTGCTTAACGGGCCTGGTGTTCAACATTACTGCAGCTCTCTGTAGAAAGGCTCTGCTTAAGCAAATTGAAGTAGCAGTGATTCATTCATCAAAAGTGGAGTTTATCGCAAACGTGATCTCAGTGAGACTTGAAAGAAATTCTCTACGCCTTTATAATTTCTCACTTTCACAACAGTCGTCGAGAAAGCTATTTGTTGCGGTAATTACTTTCATACCTTTTTTTGTACCAACACTAGCTACCAATAAAAATATATTTATTAGAGGCGCATTTCGCTAGAGCAGGAACGATGTGGCACACAAGTGTTTGTTATATGAACGGCTTTTGAAAGGTTTGTGTAATGATTGAATAATGGCTGTGAAATCTTAGTCAAGGTAAACTACTAGAACTGCGAAAATATTTCAATATTTTTCAGATCATCCCATGATTAACTATCCACAAAGCTTTTGTTACCACTGTGTTATAAGGATTTAAAGATGTAGCTCTCATTTTATCAAGTGGAAATGGGCAACTGTTCTGAAATGCGGAGTGAAAAGTAAAAAAATAGAAGACCAAGCTGGAAATAATAAGAAGCGATATTCTTGAAAAGACGTTCAGAACTGGTGGTTTGAATTAGCGACATATAAGTACCGCTGGACAGTGAGAAGGTTCAGATGTTCGTCTCAACGCTCTATCAGGTCGCCCGGAGGCACTGTCACCGGCCATGTGCACCGACGAAAATTCACTAAAATGAAGAAATCCGCACCTGCGGCGACACCTGTATCACTGCAAAAAATAAAAAATCAATGCAGTATGGGCTATTTTCAAGAGTCTGAACAAAACCATCGAGCAGTTAATGGGCTTGGAAGCCCGCGCATACTTCATAAAATATCCTCACAGCACTCTTATCTATAGAAAATAACATCGATGAGGTTCGGAACCAGACACAGAAGAATGACGTTTTTCCAAATATACTTAGGATGTCTGGAATTTATGTCATAGTTAAACTCTTAAGAGATTATTTGAAAACAGAAACAAAATTACGTCAGATGAGTGAACAGTAGGTGGATCAGGAAAAGAGTGAAGTGCATTCCAAAAGGATTTCAGTGTTAATGAGAACTCCTCATGCCGAGATAAGTGGAGGTGTGTATGTCTCATGTCAACAAGTTACGGTCAAGTTAGTTAGTTACGGTTAGTTGTCAGTTGTAGTTTGTACTTACGGCTGAAAATGACTTATGGGTACAGTAAGGATTCTTGCCAGTGGAAGTCTTCATGTTGAGAACCGATCTGATACAGAATTGGTAACATTAGATACCGTTGCCCACGTGTACAATATCTGTCAGCAAAAGCATCACTCTGTGAAAGTTGTCGCTGCCGGAAACTGAACTTAGCACCTAAGAATTATAGACTAGGGATTTCTTATGTTAGGACTTTTCGAAAACCTCCTATGTATTGCTGTAGAGAAGCAACAATATCGTTAAAGAGTAATCGCGAGCTTGCTTAAACGAGTGAACGAATACATTACGAAAACATAGAAAGCAAGAGAAATCTCAGTTGAGGACTCTTCATTGCTACGTCGCTGTGCTCTTGAGGGCTTCTGATGATTTCGAATACGATTAAGGCCATGTTTTTGGTTCCACTTTGATAATGAGTTTCTAATAAGTTTATAATTTCTTTGCGATTTTTGCCCTGGATTTGCTAAAAATTTATTTGCCACAGTATGAATTTACAGTGGTGCACATTCTCCTTTGCAAATTGCTCCTTGACGACTTTTTTGCATTGGCTTCAAGTCGTCACCGACCTTATAAAGCACTCGACCAATTCCGTCCAACTTGACCTGAAATGGGTAGCGTTTTTCATAAATCTAATACGAATTATTAGATGCGTTTTTAAGTGTACCTTGATGGTGTGGGCGAGTTTCCCATTTTCGTCGAAAGTGGCGATCTCCCAGTCTTTTAGCCCACACTCATCGGCTTTCTGTTGGAAGGTCTTTTGAAGTTTCTTTGTAAAAGTCCATCTAGAAAATGACATTATAACATTCTCTTTCAGTCAATACTCTCTTCCTTCAATTCCTACTCTAAAACAACTTTGTATGGAAATTTGTTTTCATCTATTTTTCATTCGGTCTTTCATCTTTTATCTACCTGAGCCAACGACAGGATATCTTTGTGTCATCACTACCTATTTCATAAATTTGTTTTCACTTTAGTCAGCACTGCCCCACATGCGAAAATGGGGTCACTTGTAATCCTACAAGTTGGATGTATGCCGAAGCACGCTTTCCAAAAACTATAATACTTGGAATCAAAGAGAACCTGTTCTCCCAGTTTGTATCCACCCTGTAGAAAAATGGAGGAGCTGTACAAAGCATAAGTTTTTCTTTGACCCTTTACCATTGTCATAGAAAAAGGAGTTTAAAAAGGTGACAGTATCTCGCAAGGCTGTTTACAGCCTCACTGCTATGGATAATGAAGTCGCTTCATTGGGACCAGAAGAGCTTGTACATCGAAGGAAAAATTCCTGTAAAACATTGACGCTGCCGTCATATATTCGAAAACTACCAACGAAACGCAGAAGAAGGATGAGAATCGAGTTTATGAGGAACCCATAGCGCGAGGATGAATTATCGAACTAGGTGGTTCTCTCATTAAAGAGACCACCTCGTACGTGTACCTTTAAGGCTTAAAGAACGTTAAAAACAACATGAGAGAAGAACCATACAGAAGAAGGCAAAAAGCATGAACCGGATTTAGCCTTTCAATAAATTTACCAACCATTAACAAACTCAATCCCCGTGTTCACTTTTTCAATCTAGCAGTCTTCTTAGCACTCTGTTACGCTGCGGATATGTGGGCTGGCACTTCAGTCACGTCGAAGAATCTGCGCATCTCCCACAGAGCGCTTAAACAATGTCTTTGAAATATAACCAGCACTCACAACATCCAGTCAAAATGCGAAGCTCAGCTGTTTTAAACCTTTCTCGTCTTAGGGATTTAAGGAAACACACATCGATAGCGAAACACACCTGTATCGCTCACATAATAAGAAGGACGGATGACAAATGAAAAGAACAGTGGGATGGACTGAAACAGAACGCAAGCGTCCCATTGGGAGAACACCCAAGCGGTGAGCGGACGTGCTGGGGGCTAACGTCAACCATCCATATCCACAGGTGGAAACGATTTCAGGACTACGGAATGGGCCTCGCGGCGTCACCCTATTCAAGGTGGACAGCCACCATTGACGACGAGTGTGTATGAGAGAGAAACGAGTGGAAATTGTGCTGAGACGGCAGAACCAGTGAAGATGGGCCATCCAAGTGTACAAGCGTCCAAGAAAAGAGAAGAGGAATTATGATCTTTTCTCTCAGGAATTCTCGGTGAGTGTTTTCTATCCTTCGTCATATTAAGCGTTCTTTCCACTGAGTGTGTGTTTTCGTTAAGTGTATTTACTTCCGTCACCTATGCTACTTCAATTCACCTGACAGAAGACCTGCGCCCTGGCTGACTAGCCATAAGCATCCATAAGCATTGCGCAGCTTAGTATTGCCGGATGGCTCGACCTTGTAACATTCTCCATCAATTTCATGCACGACCACCGTCACACCATCAGCTTCGACATTGCTCAAATATCCTCAAAACCTCTTTATCCCATGAACTATACTTCAGTTGATAAGCTATCTAATCACGTAAACAGTATTTGTACGACACTGCTTCTGGTCTCATAAATCTATTGCACAATCCTCTACGTTACTAGCAGTACAATTCCGTACGCACACTGCCTCCTTCTACTGAACGACGTTGCCTTTTATCCTGCCGTGAATAGATTTTTTACGGCAATTTTCGCTAGTTACATTATTATTATTATGTGTATAAAGGCTTGTTGAGATGTGGCATAAGGGTGAATCAAAAAGACTTGTGTGGCCTGACGCACACTACAACGAATTTTAACTATAGCAAAACTCTTTCTAATTATTAACGAAGGAAAGCTTACAAAGAGCTTTCTTAGAGGCATTTCTAGATTTGATAAAAGGGTAGGTTTTTTTGTACATTTCGGTAAAGGATAAAATAAAGGATAAAGCTCTCGGCGTTGATCAATCCTTGAGGAATGCGCCATGCATTCGACTTCGTTAAGCATCGTTTGGAGGTGATTGAACGCATATTTGGCCATTGCAATGACTCGCAGCGGCCTAGCGATGTATCGAGCCAGTGCTGCTATTCTCCCAGACAAGTCTAGTATCAATTTGCCAGCCCCGAAGGGATCGTAGATCGGTGGACTATAGGCACTGGGATCGATACCACATGTATTGCAGAGCGCCTTCGACCACTGCGCCGCACGCGCTCTTACATTTTGATAGCAAAAAATGATCATAATTGTAAGCAATAATGATACCATCTTGTGGGAATGCAATATCTTACTCGAGAAGGGGTGGACAAGTATGAGATGAGCATAATTTCAAAACATTAACCGTTATTCCTCACACAGATCTCTGTATTAAGGCGTCAGTTAAAAGACAACATGTACCTCTGTATCGAATTATCAAAGGCACTTCAATGATTTAAAAATTAAACGGTTAAGGTTTTCCAGAAATTAGACCCTCCTCTTTTGACTTTTTAACCCACCTTTCGCTCTTTTTTCCATTACTGGCAGTTACCTGAGCTCCGAATTTTCTCTCAGTGTCAGACTTTACGTGAACGATGATGTCACAGGCAAGTGAAAATGAGACCACAGCAATGAGCACTGCAGCGGACCTCATTACACTGAAATAGAACATTCTTTTTGACGTCTTTCTATTCACTAACAGTTTACCTCTCAATGCGATGTATAACTTTGCTTCCTTAACAAAGATTAGCAGTCAAAATCACTTCAAATGAAATCCCCTAATTAGAGAAAGAAAAAGAAAAAAGAAAAAGAAAGAAATTACAATATACTTCGAGTTATAATAGTATTCCACACGTTAGAAACTGTCTACAGCTAAGCATTCAGAGAATGAAAATCTAACTTGAGAAGTTATGTAGTACTTCTATGACTTTTAACCCAAATTTCCAAAAGTATAAAGAGCATAGAGACGTGGTGGTGTAGTATTACTCACTCGACGATCCGGTTTAATTATATAAAGGGTTGGGTGCAGTAATGATATCAATAGTTCTGCGAGGCCAAATTGAGGCACTCCGCCTATTCCGGATTTGTCTATATGCGCCTTTCTATGTAATATACATATATACCATACAAATTACACATATATGCACATATTTAGATGAGTGAGATGAGATGAGATTTAGATGAGTATATATATATATATATATATGTATATATATATATATATACATCTACATACCTTTGCAAATATATCTATACATACATGTACAACTATATCTACACCTATACATGTATATATCTACTAATATATATATACATATATATATACATATAGATATATATATATATATATAATAGCTTGATTTCTTGTAATGATCATTCACAAAACTTTTTCTAATCTCAACGAAAGCCAACCTTCTCTACACATTGTGTCAGGAAAGATGGACATTTTGTTTGCATTGATCATTTGTTTTGAAATCCGGGAAGTTCGGTGAAGAAGGCTACAACACCGAGAGGAGGTCGGTTTCAAGTTTGTGAAAAGTGTGTCGCGACTGCTCCTCAACGCATCTGTTCGGCTCTGTACACTTTACCTTTTGGAATACAAGGTTCAGTTCACTGGCAACAGAATTTCAACAAAAGCGTCTTGTAGCAAAAAAATGGTTGTTAAATGATATTATTCTGCTGCCTGCAATCGGTTTACTCAATCTACACGATCCAATGACATTGACGAGTGGCATCAGTGTCAGTAAACGGGATTTCGATGCGGGTTGAGCAGCATCGATCACACCTACACAGTAACTAAAACCGTTAGAGCACGGTTATGGGCAAGTTTCCACTTTGTCTCACTTTCCTGGACTTCAAACATGCTTCTAACTCAGTCGACACAGGAACGTCCGTCGGAGCACTGGGAAGACGGCGTGCTTGCTTCATGCATAAATATACTTCACTGGCTATACAATAACTTCACAACCATAGTTATACCCTTTTGTGACTATGCTGTCGTCGAAATAAAAGTATTTTGACAGAATAGTATCATTTAGAAAAGACTTTTTAGCGCCACTTTGAAGAAACTCATGCGGCAACTAGAATGGGATAATGAGGAAGTAAAAGCCGGTGTGGTCCCGCCACATCAAACCAGTCCACTTTGTTGGTGACATCTTCTTTCTAACACCAAAAATTCACTAAGAAGAAAGATTTCTAACCTATTTAGGAAACAGTGGTAAAAAAAACTGCTTCCCATCTGAATCACAAAATGTAGGTGATATTCTCTAGAAGCGACTAAGTTTCTGATCCCTGTTCACCCTCAAAGAAATAAGTATCTCCGATTGTTCCGGCATTTTGGATCTAGCACAGAGGATCAAAGTGATGAACAGTTTTACGCTAGAATTCGACAGCATAAAGTGAGCGGCTTGGAACGTAGAATAACGTTCAAGACGTACTGCAAAGCGCTAAAGACAAGAAAATCTCTATCCAAATCTGGACGTCGGTGTTTGAGAACGACCGAGTCACTCGACCATCAAAGGGGGTCATGAGGAACAGAACTTTATATATGCATATATTTTTAAAGCACGAATACATAGAGTTTACACGCATATATACATGTATATATATGCACATATATGTATGTATGTACATATATATACATAAGTATATATGTATATATATAATATCGGAGTGTAGCAGCAAAGTGAGATGTTCGGCGAATATTGGCGCCGATGTCACTCGAAGCCCAAGAATGTTACACTGCTTTGTGATAAATCTATTTTCTCGCCGAGAACTTTTCAAAGGTGAAAAGTATGATCAATAACTCTTCAGCTTTCACATTTTCGTTGCAACCATACTGGAACTACTTTCGCAATGCGTTGGTAACCTATGACACGTAGAATGCAGAAGTGGCAAGCTTAGATGAACAAGTCTTCTCTAAAGGCACATTGTCCCTCCTGTCGTTTATGAAAAGAAGGTCTTGCAGAACATTTTTGAAGGTGTTTTATTAGTATTAAAAACAAGTTTTAATGTATACGCTAAAACTCCGCACCAGAAAGTAATCTATGCGAGAGATTAGAATAACTGTTCATTTCCATTAGGCGGGTTCTATTACTTCTCATGTGCATTACTAAATGCATATGGTAGCAGTTCGGGTCAGACTTTGGCCAGGCCGACCTTGGGATCCCACAAAACCACAGTGGTTCAGCCGGCAAGTCTCTAAAAGAAGGAAAAATGGAGATTGTGCTGGCACCCCGAGAGATGGATTCTGTACGACAACCGGCGACGTTCACCTCAATGGCTGGATTACGGTCAAGCTTCACAGCACTTCCCAAAGACGAAATTGCACCAAAAAAAATACGGTGACTGTTTGGCGGCCTGCAGTCGTGCTGGTTCATCACAGCTTTTTGAATCCGGGCGAAATGATCACAGCAAAAGAGTATTACCAAAAAATCAACCAAATGCGCCGTAAACTCCAACAAAAACGATCAGCATTAGTCAACACACCAATTCTACACGACAACGCCCGGCTTCATGTTGAGTAATCAACGCTGCAGAAGTTGAACGAGTTGGCCTACGAAGTTTTGCCTCATCCTCCATATTTATCAGACTTCTGACCTGCCGACCATCTCTTCCTCAAGCAACTTGACAACTTCCTGGGCGGGAAATGTTTCACCTACCACGATAACACAAAAAATGCCTTCAACGAATACATTGCTTCTAGAACTCTAGAATTTTATGCAACTAAAATAGATAAACTTGTTTTTTAGTAAAAGAAATGTGATGATTCTAACGGTTTTTATTCCGATTAATAAAATTCAACATGAAAAAAGTTCCGGCCATTTGAAGTTTACATTCAAAATAAGACATTTCATATATTATAATCTAATTGCATTAGAAGAACAGGTGTTCACTTGTTAACTCAACAAACTTTCTGTCGCAAATGAAAAAAAATCTACAATGATTTCTTCATACTTGATGCTTGAATGGCCCGTCCTCAATGGTTGAGCAGAATCCAGCACAATCTCCATTTTTCGGAGATTTTCTGGTTAAGCCATCATGGTTCTCTGGAGTCCTGAGGTCAACCTGGCCAAAGTCAGCCTCAGGTCTTCACCACCACAGGCAGTCGCAGCCCTCGTGGATCAGAGGGAGATTTACCACCATGCGATTTTGAGACCAGGACGGTGGTGGATTGTGGTATTGGTTTACTCTTAGCTAGGCTTTCTGATGGAAACGCTGGACTCCTTCTCAGCTTGAGAGACCTTACCAGGGGATGAATACCCCGCTGTACAACGCAGCCCCACACCCAAGAATACCTTCCAGCCACAATAAGGCGGTAAACCGTTGGGAGGACAATGATGTCACCGGCATGAAAAGTAGCCACGAACGTTTGGTCAGAGGTGTGCCGATATAACATCAGCATGTATATCCTTCTGACCTCATTTGTGACGTTATAATTAAATTATGATAAAAAGGATAAAATAAGGATGAAGCTCTCGGCGTTGATCAATCCTTGAGGGATGCGCCATGCATTCGACTTCATTAAACATCGTTTGGAGATGACCTTTACAATGACTCGCGGTGGTCTACCAATGTATCGAGCCAGTGCTACTATCCTCTCAGACAAGTCTGGTAACAATTTTCCGACCCAGGAGAGATGGAAGGCTTGGTGAACCATAAACTCGGGGATCGATTCCACGTGTGTGTTGCAGGGCGCCTCCGACCACTGCACCGCACGTGCCCTTTGATATCTGAATTATGATATCAATTGCATTCTTGAAAAATTATAAAAGCTAAATTTTTTTTACGTGTCAAAGCAGCAATCTCGCCAAATCTACTTCTGTGGAATTCAAACTCAATCGTACGCAAAGCGAACAACCCGAAACATTAATGGATAATGGCGGCGAGGAAGTGAAAACGATTGCACAATGTGATATTGGCTTGAGGAATTCCGTCGTGACGTATTCGACCTTTAAGATAGGAGCAGGTGCGAACGTTAAGCTTTTAACGACGGTGACTTGGTGATTTCGTGGAATTAAGTACACGTCCAATGCTTGAGAACTTGCAGAAAAACTCAATATAAAAATCCCAACTGCTTAGGAAGTTTTAAAAAAACACTGGAAGGGCAGGGCGCTCAACAAATGGGTGCCGTTCGAATTAAGTGGCAATTAAAGAAGTCGCCATTTTGAAGCGTTTTCAGCGTTTGTCCTGTGTAAAGAGGACGACCGATTTCTCGACTATGTTACGACGAGCGACGACAAATGGATCTTCCGTGGTAATCGGCATCGATTAGCTCAGTCGTCGAAGCTCTACAGCACACCCTAAAGCCGAGATTGCACCAAAAGAAGGCAATAGTAACTAACCACTTGATGGCTCTCTGCTAATTTGCTTTCTGGATCCAGGTGGAACGGTTACGCCAGAGAAGTACTCCAACAAGTCGATGAAATGCCCCATGTACTCCAATGGCTACGTGCCGAACTAGGCATCAGAAAGTTAGGGTGAACCATTTAATTCAAGCAAAATATTTCTCTATTGCTTCTTCACTTCACGAGTACAGAAGTTATTCTTTCGGGCTTAAAAACCCTTGCGATCGAAAATGTAAGGCCGATATATAGCATTCATTTCTTTAATGCTGTTTTCAGTATTTGAAAGCGCTCACGGTTTTCGTTTGTTTCACTGCCTGGAACCATATAATCCTTATGTTGCCGATATGTTCGACAAGGTGAGAAGCAATGGTGAATCCTTTCCAGCCTCTCTTTTCAAATTCCCTATAGCACGCAGAGGCGAATAGGCGTCGATATAAATGGTTATGCTCACCAATAGTTTGGCTAATCAGATGCTTTGTATTCTATCGCTTTCGAAGTCCTTTCTTATAAAATCTCAAGCCCAGCCACCTTCATCGTGCTTTTTGCTTTTTAGTATAATTTTCCTAAACTCATTTTGGTTACATCCGTGGCTTTTATATCCTATGTTACCTTCATGCTTTTTCCTGTGTCTTTAAATGCTTTTCAAGCATGAACAACTTCTGTTCAGCTGATCTACTGCGAACCATTGCGGCTACGTCAACGGAATTTTGATGAAAAAATTTAAGTTACAAATGTCCTTAGGTTGTTTTCAGTCTTGCAGTGTTTTTCAGTGCTGGCTGGTGCGTGGTACTTTTTGTTGGTGCCACGGCCAACAACTTTCTTGAGTAAATAAACCGTTTCTAACAATATTAATAGAGCAGTGATGACATGACAATACTGAAGCAATACAAACGAAAATATGATAATAATACTCTCAATAACTGAGGGTAAGGAAACACGCAAGAAGACGCTTAGAAGTGAGAGAGTGGCTTTGTCAAAGGTTGTGGAGTAATGTGATTTGCGGTTGTGTGGTGGAATGCGGTAGTAACAGTACACAATTTCAGCGTATTGGAGGTAAATACATGTATGCTTGTGTTTATATTGTTGAGCTTTCACGAGGTTAATAGAGATGTTTATTAGGCCAACGTTTCGACTTTTTGGTCTTCATCACAACCGATGAACTAAGTTATGGTCCAATCCACCTGTGGAACACTACGTGCTAGATGCAGCCAATCTAGGAAACGTGTTAGCTTAAACTGTTTTAATACTCCTAATCAGAAATGTGACCAATTTATACGCTATAGACATCCGGCTTAGAAACAATTTAGGTTGTTACTTCGTGCCCTTCATTTTGGAAAGTTTTACTGTGCCTAACATTTCAGTGTCGCCGCATTCCTCAAAGCTACAACGATTTGAGTCGATTTTCCACAGCCGTTTGTTTTGGCGATCTGAGTCTACATAGTCGCATCAACCAGTGGATTGGTTCACAGCCTGAATGAAGGGTATCCTCAATAGTAAGTGCTCTTTTAAATATGACAATAGTGACGTATTAGACGTACTTGTCGGTATTCCGATCTGCCTTCGTGGTGGCAGTGCATCCTTTAGCAGTCAGTATTATATTAGCAAGCACAGAATGAGGAACCTTTTTTTCTTCAAAGATGCACTCTCCTTCAATCTCGGCATTTGTAGCCATTGTAAACCTTATTTTAGTGCTAACCTACACTATGTCGTTACGGAACTTTCACCCACACTGCGCTTTATAACCTTTTGTAGTTCGAGCACATACCCTCCCTATTAAAGGAGCTTGTTTCATAATAAATATTGTCAGGAACCCAAAATCACCAGCAAAGCGACGGAACTCTACTGAGAAACCTGCCTCTGAAATTTTAATACTGCTTTAGCTTTTTGACTATTTCGATTATCGGTCAGACTAGATTGTTTACTTCCCTTTTTTCCAATGTGATGTAATAATTCATCAGTGGGTACCCTTAGCGCGATGTCTACAAGAGGTGTCCTACAATACGCACCTAGTCGTTGGTTCGATTCCATATCAGAGGCATATCAAGTAGTGCATCCCTCAGAAATCAGTCTATTGCTGCCAAACTTGTCTGGAATGTTTTTAAAAAAACTTTTGCTTGTTATACATATCTAAACTATGTAGGCGATTGCTTATCCTGAATGTAAATTCACTCATCTCCAGGATGCTGTGAATAGATTGGGATGGATATCACAACGTTAAGTTGACACTACAATGGTCAATGTTTTGTCCTTTATTTTTCTAATGAATCATGTATGTCCTACCAGTTGGATTGTCATTCCATCATGGCGAAACCCTAATGCCAACCCTAACCAATCACAACTGTTCAATTCCACACGGCCTCACAAACTTTCTGTCCTAGTGTCCTTCGTTTGCAGATGGATAACAATCATCTCTTTGGTTTCACAGCATTTGTTACGTTATTTTACATAGCACGTCTACACATCTGCCAAGCGAACTTCAAAATATATTCCACACAATCACTTTGCTCGCATTCATAATTCACGCAGATCTTCGAACTTCTGCATGTCTGTTCGGCTGCTGCCTAAAGATTTTCCGTCCTCATTAAGAATGCCGCTGTATCCCGGTCGAGATGCAGCTGAGGGAGGGACTGCTGCGCTCCTTCTCCACTAATATCCTGAATTCTGACCAAATCTGGGTGTCTTAAGGTCCTGGAAAAGCATTACTACGACAATACACGACTCTTTCAAGATACCTCTAATTATTCGGTAAGATGGGAAGAAAGAAAAACTGTTTCTGCGTTTATTGAGAAAGATGTTTTCACTATGACTTAATGTTTCTGAGATTTAGACAGTATCTGATCCTCATGTATCACTTCAATTTTGAGTGATAAAACTGCAAATCTTGTTATCGCCAGAGCGCTATACAAATTGTAACAAATTCATCATGAATGATGTCCTTATTATTTCATTAGAACAAGTAACATCCCAATGAGATGCAGAGACCTAAATTCCAAGCTGTGCCACCACAAGCTAATAACGGCCTGCACAGTTTGAAGCCACTTTTTAAGGAAATGACTTCTAAAAGGTATGATCTCTTTGTGATGTCATATATAAACGGCACAACGTTTTAGATTGTCACAGAAATAAAATCGATTTTTAAACATAGGTGAGAAAGGAAACACGAGAAATTTTTCAAGAAGTTCAAGCCTGTACGTAATGCTGCGGAAACGGCCACCAATATTGACGTTGTATTTGGCCGGATAACAGCTGCCGATCGTGCGGGCAGGTTTAACCAATTTTAGGATAAAGATGAAGAGCCTTGATTGATCAAGGTCGACCAACATTTGTCGACTGTAATAGCCCAACAAGGCCTTTGTTAAATTAGATCTGTACACAGATGCTCGGTAGCATATGACCGAAAATTTATGCAGTACCTGAACTGTCATGAAATCTGTTCCACTCTTCTGCGATTCATTGTTCGTTTGAGAATATAATGATGAACACTCCCCAAATAGAAAATGTTGGAGGGCCTAGGCTGTCGCTAACGTTACAGTGTCGGATTTGTTATTTAAAGCCTGTTCCCGGAAAGCTATTTGTCAGTTGACATAGGAGCTAGTAATGTGCCGCTAACTTGAATTCTTCGGCAGAAGGTTATTTATGTGGTTTTTATCTGATCTGACCAACAGTGAGAGACTGTGGTACCAAGAAATCTGAAACTTCTTACTTCGAAGGGAGAGCCATTTTAAGTCGAATAACCAGTTATGATAAAGCGTGTGGCACGACAAGAGGGTCGGAAGTCGATGAAGAACTGCTATAGGGCATACTCAAGCAAAGTTCGAACTTTAAAAAAGTTTTGTTGCTAACGATGGTGGTGCTAGTGGATTTCTAACATATGTTTTGAAATATGAATGGCAGTAAATGGAGTAAGGTCTTAAATCAAAGCCACGCATCAGAAGCTAACCAAAAAGACATTTCACTCGTGAACAGAAAAACAGCAAATTTTGGTGCACTTAGTGATTTACTGCCACCGATATGCAATATCGTTTGATATCTGAATACTCTTTATCGACGCCTCTGGGTTCCGAGCATTCATATCGGTCGGATACTTCTACGTGTCTTGGCAAATCTGTAGTAATGTTTATTTCAATCAAAATTGGACATTCAATATCGATCGAACAACACTTGCACATGAAGACCCATAAAAAGCAGGATAAAACAAACAATAAATAAAACACTTGGTTCTAAATATTGTTCAACACACTAGCTCTATACGAACCGACCGCTTCCTTGAAAGCATTCACGAACGCGCTCGCTCTCTGAAGTTGTTCATAATGTTGTATATCAGTACTATTTGAGAGTCTGAAAACCATGCAGACCCATAGAAGGCAGTTTACTCTACAACTCAAAGTTTTTAAATTTTCTAAGAAATCAAATTTCTAACAAATAGAGAGCGAAATGAAAAATGTCGGGCTTGTTCACAAGCGGTAAGGCCGCCCCAAAAATCAATGCATCGGCGACATCATCGCGTCTTTCTGAACAAAAGACAGTTCGTTCAACCGGTTTTCCATTCACTGTTAAAACCTCGACATAAAGCGCGAAAAAACGTCTTGTGAGCATCAGAAAAAGGGTTTTATCCTAAGAAAATAGGAAAGAAGAGCAAAGTACCCTGCGTCACACAAAGAAGCGCTGGTTCAATACAGAGCCCCGTGCTGATTAAACTCTCCATACCTCTGGAGCTCTCAAAATGGACAACACTTATCTGCGAGGGTGAGAACACTAAACTGATGTATCGGTGGGGCGCCGCAAATCATTGTATAGGCTAAATATGCGCGTGACCACATCTACAGGGCTAGATGAAATAATGAATGGTACACTTTTAGGAGAACGATCAATCCCTAATATTTTATCACTCATAGTTTAAAATAAGAAGATTCGTTTGTTGTGACTCAATATCTAGACATCCTATCGCCTTTTATTCATTTAAGAATGTCCACTATGACCCGAGTTATGTCTGTTTAAGAATATGAGCGAAAGCAAATTTTGGCCACATGGAGCACATGGTCGCGAATGTGTTCAACGCAAGCACTTTAGAACCATCTGAGGACAGTCAGAGAATATTAGTGAAAGGCGAGAGTATATTATTCACTCCAATGGTAGCTACTGAAAGTTTTACAAAATATGTGGCACATCATTCCCCTTGTAAATCACAAATTCCATGGCCGTTAGTTTCTATTTCATAGCATTCCTGTGTTCCTGAGATTCTCCTGTATGATCGTATCGATGACAGAATTGATCACTACCTGCACCTGATTCGTGTCCGTCGCACATGTTTCATGAATATATCTGAAAAGCTTTAAATGAGCAGGTACGAAATTAATGTGCGAATTTGGATGAATTCTCTCAATTCCATTTCAAACTGTTCTTAGGCACAACATAATGAGGTGCTTTTCAAACTTTTCGAGTTTTTCCCAAGGATGAAAAACTACAAGATCCGATATGCGATATGCGATATGAACGCCAAACTGATAAAAGTTGAATTCGGTTCTTCGTCTTCTATAAATTCGTTCTTAGCAGATCACACGCTTTCGTGTCGTTGACGGTCGTTGCATGAAAGCACCGTGAACGATTTCACCCAATTTCAACCATTCTCTCAGTTCTTAGCAAAAGATTCGAGTCTTGAAACTCGATGCACTTGAGCAATGTACCCCCTTAAGCGAGATCGAGCTGTCGCGACTGCTTGAGGAGCACCATGGTGCTCTTTTACTCGATGGCCACCATTTCACGCACGAAGATTATTAAAAGTGTGGATGTACTTGTCCTTGATGCTGCTCAATCAAGCATTGCAATTTCTGAGGCATCTATTTCCTGACTGTCCCTGGAAAACAGGTGACAAGTTATCTGAGATTTTTGAATTCGCACGGAACCATGGTTGCACTAGCTTGGCTGCAAATGACCTGACCTTCACCGAGTGCTGCGAAATGCTGAGCAAGAAAACGGCTCCTGATTCCGCGACTTATGTGGCATTCTTTTTTCTGAGCTTTGAGAAATTTCATTGGAATATGTTTCAAAATTTCCGCCAACAACAAGCAAATTCACAGCAGTTATTGGAATCATGGCCGGAGCAGGAAAGCGTCTGTCCGTTGGCTTAATGTTTCGCTCAAAGTGATCGATGAACTTAATGATTACTACCATAGAGATGCTGAGATATGAGCAGAACTTAGAACATTAGTTAGCAACCAAGAAAGTTCGAATCCGGGACATTACCCTTACCCTCGCCGAGACCCACCCGCTATCCATCGCATCAATGGAGTTTTACTTGTCTCTCAGGCATATTTTCATTGCATCGGTAACAAAAACATCGGTGAGCACCAATGGTTGTATCTCACATTTTAGCGTGCCACGAAAAAAGGGAATAGGCAGTAAATAAAAGTTGTGGCATGGTGATTACGTCTTGCACTTCAGCTTTATATGCATTGCAGAAATTGATGATGGCAGATCCAGTCATCTCGGTTAAAGATTCTCATCTTTTTCAAAAATATTCGATTATATCTGCATCGTCCATCCACCTCTTGAAGGTCGGGTAACTGGAATAGGCTCCTGCAAGGCATTCATTTGTATCTGTCTGTACCACAAGCAGCAATCCATTGAGTAGTGTTCTTTCTAGAAATTCAAGAAGCATGAGGCTTTTCTACTAAGACAGTTCTGAAAAATTCTGACTTGAAATCAATTAGCATTCATTGCGTCTGGGTAATATTTAATGTTGGAGGAACGGTATCATAAGCAAAAAAAATAGTGTACAAGTAACCGACTTTAACCTTCACGATATTCCATTTCGGTTTTCGCATAACTTTTTTAAACGTCTGCAAATACAGTGCACTATCAGCCTGACAAATTCCGCCTTTAACGTCGATGACAACGCCGCTGTTTAGAATGGTGACAGCGTTCCAATATCTTCAAGTCAGACCGTCGACAGCCCATGCAGATCAGGGGAAAGCTTTCTCTAGACAGGTTTGGCAATAATCTGCCAGTAGGAAAAAAGAGGTCTCGTTGGCTCGATGCGAGGTCGAACCAGAAACCATGCATGTATTGCACGGCATTTCTAACCTTTTCAGCTCCCATATCCAAGTTTTCATTAAAAGGTCGAGAATGGCTATGTTTAAATGGATTTGGCTAAGTATGACCTAACGTTGTCTATGTTTGCCACAAGCACCAACTGTTCCCCTAATAACAAGTAGCGGGTGTAGCGCAATGGTCAGAAGTGCCCTGCAGTTCATATAGGAGCGATCCCAGCGCCAGAGACTTACCAAGTCCTCGATCATTCCAAGGTCGACAGATTGCTGCTAGCCTTGTATGAGAGGATTGAAGCATTGACTCGATATATGAGCAAGCCACCTCGAGTTATTGTGAAGGTCATATATGCATTCAATCACCTCCAAACGATTCCAAATGAAGTCGAATGCTTGACACATCACTTATAGATTGATGAACACCGAGAGCTTCATCCTTTTTCCTTTTAATAACAAATATCGTAGATTTCCGGCAGCCAGAAAACCCGCAAGAGCAACAATTCAACAATGCCAATTGGGTCGAATAGAAAAGAACAAAACGAAGGCACCTGTGCAATGAACTTACGGTTTTTTCGAGTGTCTGATGAGCGCCTTTTCAAACCGCTTTCTTATATACGCAACGCAAGCCTCATATCCGGAACCATCGCGATCAGCTGAACTCATAAGTTTTAAAATAAGTGGAATGTCAACAGGAACTAAAAATTGTTAAAACGGGGATATGCAAAAATTGGCTTTTGAACTTTATTTACGTCGAAAATGAACGGACTTCTTTGAAAATATATCTTCGAAATACGGAAACCAAAGCTGAAACTGTCAACAAAAAGGGAAAAAATTGGTTGCCATCCAAAAATCGAACAGAGAAGCTTTCCTTTCTCAAGAAGCTTTTCCTATCTTTTTTCTTCTCAAGAAGCTTCATTTTTCACCGCTACTAGAGTGAAGATTTGCTCCAACTTTCGCTAACTTTATCTTTACGTATGCAGTTATAAAAGCCATTTTCACATAAGCAGTGCGGATTCCAGCATTTCTTCATTTGGTTTATCGTACTCGTCAGCGATGAAGGTCTTCGGATTTGTAGGTGGGTTCCGCTGCCAACTGAGCATTTTGCCTTAATAATGAGCATCACCGAATGCTAATGAAATATACTTTCCTTGGAATTCCGGAAGACCACTGTTAAAGCATTTCCAAGTCCTAATGACTCACAGTCACTGGAGTTTGTGGATCGCATGGAGCTTTTCCAGACAGGCATGCCTCCAATTTTCCGCCTAGAATTCTGCAGCGGTTTAAGACTAGCTTGACAAACCCAAGAACAACTGCAGAGACGAGTGAAAAAAACGATACCATAGCTTTGAATTTTGGTCTTGAAACTAGGATAACTACGCGTTACTCATTTTGTGAGTATCTAGAATCTGCTTGATTCAAAAATGGGTAGTTATCAAGGTGTTGATCACGCTTGAATGTTAGGTTTTCATTAGATGCTTATTTAGATATTTGGATCACTCGTCTTTACTGGCTGTGGGATCCCAGCATAATTCCCATTCTCCAGAGATTTGCTGGTTTCGCCATTGTGGTTCCCTGGAGTCCCGAGGTCACCCCGACCGAACTCTGTCTTAGATCGTCGCCACCACAGACAGTCGCAGCCTTTGTGGATGAGAGAAAGATTTGCCGCCATGCGACTAGTTTGACACCTGGATAGTGGTGGATCCTGGTACAGATTTACTCTTAGCTGGGCTTTATGATGGAAATACCGAACTCCTTCTCAGCTCGGCAGACCATGCGTGGGGAGAGGTGAGTTGAAAACCTACGCTGTATATCCGGCACCCAGGAACGCCTCTCGGTCACGATGAGGCGCTAAACCATTGAGAGGAACTTTCATATCCTCAATGGAAATCCTTCAGGCTTTCAGCTTTTTATTCAGGATATAAAAATTTCTAGTAGGTTGTGTGCTTATGTGAATCCTCTAGAGTTTGAAGGAAACGCCGAAGCGATAACAGTCGTCGTGAGGAAAACGTTGTATTAACCATTCATGTGCTGCTGATAACTATCTTAGTGGCTCGAAAAAAAACTGGGATGATGAGGGGTTCCCTAAAATGAAGTAGACTATGAAATTAAAATTAGGCACGTACAAAAGCTTAAAACCTCAGTGCTCTCTAATTGGTCAACTGATAGCAAATTCAGAAGGATGGATACTGTAACAAAACGATAAGCTAACAATATGACTTGCTGAAGAAACTCTCTACGACGCACAATTTTGCTTCATTAGGTTAACAGAAATTGTGACTGACATAGGAAAGCGTTAATAAATTCTAGTCATCATCTTGAAGAGCTGTGTGACTTTCTGATTTGTATATAACCCTTGTTGAAAAGGAGATTTTGTTTCTCTGAATTTGTTCAGACGCGATTCCCTATGGTGGATAATTCCACATGTCGCCGTAGTGTGAAGTAGTCACTACTGAAAATAAAAGCTACCACATCCAAATCGCTTACCGTCATAGCTTTCAAAACAGACTTTTAGCGATACGCTTTGTATTTTCTTGGCAAATAAATCCTTCTTATTAAGAAATAATATCACTGATATCTCTTTGAAATAGTGATTGGTGACAACACTGTCGAACAATAACAGCGCTTCCTTCAATCGATTCTGCAACAACATTTCACTGAATTCTAATGAAATTATAAAAGGATGAAATAAAGGATAAAGCTCTCGGCGTTAATCAATCCCCGAGGCATGCGCCATGCATTAGATTTCGTTAAGTATCGTTGGAGGTGATTGAATGCATATCTGACCTTTACAATGACTCGCGGAGGCCTATTGATGCATTGAACCAGTGCTGCTATCCTCCCAGGCAAGTCAGGTACCAATTTACCGACCCCGGAGTCATGGAAGGCTTGGTGGGCCATGGGCTCGGAGATCGATTCCACGTGTGTGCCACAGTGGCTCCTCCAACCACTGCGGTACACGTGCCCTAATGAAATAATAGAACTGAGAAGTATGATGATTTTAAAAGATGGATCACTATGAGCTAAGAATCATCGCAGGGTAGTTTCATAAGGTATGGCATTAGTGCACGCCACTTACCGTCTTGTTGTCTTCCTTGAGAACTTGATCATATTCACTTATCGCCGCCACATAAATGACTGCGTTGACGTTATCAAAACAATGAATCCATTTTCGTCGCTCCGACCTCTGCCCACCGACATCGTAAACTCTGAAATCAGACGCCGCACTACGCCGGTCACTCATTTTTAGCACATGCAAAAGATAATTTAGTTATTCGCTTATGAAACAAAATTAGTGTGTTCTGATTTTTTCCTCCTTATATATCGCTCAAAATTTACTCTAATAAATAATACTGACCAAGACCAGTGTTAAACTCAGGTTTCGTATGTTTTCGAAACCCACTATTTCTTTAATTAGCTTCGGCGTCTTGCTGCTGTTGTGCATGAGGGTCACTAGATTCACTTCTAGGCTGGACTGCCCTTTGAGGACTTTCTCTTCTTCGTGTTTTCTGAATACTGATTGACTTGATAGCACTATTACAACTTCCGTAGTCTCCACCATATGCATCCACATCGCCTCAAACCTTTTCACGCAGGAATTTGACGACCCCGGAAGAATGTAAGCCTAACTAATTCAGGCGAGGCTATATCAGCGACTTAGTGCACATTTCACAGCCTTCCCAACTAATTTTTTTCATGCACATCATATGTACATATATTTATATGCATATATGTATACATATTATCACGACCGACTTTCTATTAACCTCGGCATTGATCAAGTGATTTTCTTCGTATTTTTGTTGAGCAAACGCGAGGTGTTACTATTCTTTGTTCACGATTAAGCTGACGTTTCGGCGGATTTCGCCTTCTTCAGAGCCTGGAGAAAGGTCAAGTTGATAGCAACCCACTCGGCCAGACGCCTCCATAACCAAACAAAGAAACTCCAAACCAAGATTTCAATCACTTTGAACACAGCTTTGCACACTCACCGCTTTCTATGAGGTTTCCACTAAGTATGTCACGTAGAGACCACCCGCACAGAACTCACGTGGAAGTATAATGTGCCCCTCACATCAGAAAAGCAGTTTTATATACTGCCCTATATCACGCGTGATAATGAGGCATTCTTCCCTGCGGTTCATTTTCGGATTTCTGGAATTAATCCAGAGTGCCTCGAGAGTTTTTCGCGCCTGTGTTCTTGATTCGCGTGCGAGGATCGTGACACATACTTCGAAGTCGTCCCCGTTATGTCTCTGGGTCCTATGCGTGCCTAGCGGGGTATTTGGTCTATTTTTGCCGGCTAGGTGTTCTTTCATGCGGACACAGAGGGGTCTACCCGTTTCGCCAATGTATTCGTCACCACACGTCTTGCAGGAGATCAGACAAACTATACCTGAGCTCATGCAATCATCGTCTCTACCACTGGGGCAAATTATGCAATTTTGAGTTGCACATAGGCGGTTATATAGGAGGTTACGAACTAGCTGGCGCTTAAGATTACTCGGTGGTATTTCAACTAAGCTCACCGATTTCTCTAAGCCCGCCCTTCTTAAGCAGCGTTTTATAGCTGGGCTTATATCATTTGAGATGAAGGGTAGGATAAACGGGACCCTTCTATCGCTAGAGTTGTCGTTTGGAGGCCTACGATTTCCTCTACACCTATTCTGAACTACAGCTTCGTAGCCATTAGAAACGGCTATTTGCCGTGCCAAGTTCCGGGACTCCTCTCTCTGCTCTCTTCCCGTGCACACGTTGGTTGCTGTTCGAAACATGTTTNCTTTCGGTACCACTTTGTAATGTAGCCATTTTCTGATAGGTGAATTTGTACGTTCAAAAATGGAAGCCATTTTTTTTTCGGCTTTTCTCGGGTGAACTTGATATACTCTGACTGTGCGTTTAACAATTCGAAGCATTTGTCCAATTCCTCTTGTGTTGAGCAAAGGACAAAGCAGTCGTCTACATACCTACAGTAGAGTAGCTCCCCGAGATCAGTCACCGGTGCTTCCACCTTAGACATAAATGCAATGGCAAGGCTTGGAGCCAGTCGTTGTCCCATTGCCAACATTTTTTTTTTTTTTTTTTACTTTCCAGACCATCTGAAGATTGAGCAGCCCAAGCATTCTTTTAAGAGTGCCATCAGGTGCTCTATCCTGAAGCCATACATGTTTATTTCTCCTTCGTGTTGTGTAAGGAGTTCGAATATGGCTTGCATTGCGGAGTCATTCGACACGTTTGTATAAAGGGCGGTAACGTCGAAGGACTCCATCACGCACGCGCTGTTGGGCTGCGCAGTACGTAGACGATCCAGAAACATCTGGGTATTCGCAAGATAGGCTGGGATGTGTTTCAACAACTGGTTAAATATTAGGGTTAAAAACCATGTTATCCTGTCCGTTGGCCCGTCTACACGGCTAATAATAGGCCTAACCTTAAATAGTGATGGATCGTTAGACGCAAGATCATCGCTGGTTACTAACTTATGAGTTTTTATAAGTAAGTACAAGACGGGGTGTGTTGGTAAGGCAACTTTAAGTTGAGAGATAACTGATAGTTTCAAACCAGCAGCCCTTGCCATTTTGGCCCATTCGTGGTTTACTTTTCGGTATTTACTTTTGAATTCCTCCTCAGATGATGGGCGATAAAGCGAAGCATCTTCAAGATGCTTTTTCTTTATCTCCACATCTAACTGATGAGGAATTTCGACAAACCCTCCACCCTTATCACTAACGGAAAGTCTTATGGTTTTCAACCTTATCAGCTCTCGTACCTCTCGCATACCACCTCTTTGCACTGGAGTGAGGTTGGAGCTGTATCTTTTCGCGCGATAGTGATTAAGGAATTTGAGAGTTTCATTCGCAAACATCCGAAATTTAACATAAACTTTATCATTGGGCTCTTGCTGTCTAAAGAACCTTGGGGGAAATGGTGCTATTGGTAGGACCCCCACTTGATGTTGTTCGCACCTATATAGCGCTTCATCTCTAGCTTTTTTGCGGAGTCTATCTTGAAGTTCATGTAAACCACGTGCGACCCTACGCAAGGTTATCTTAGAAATGGGTTCAGATGGTGAGAAACTCGGCCCCAATTCTAATAACGAGCGCGCACCGTCAGGGAGAGTTATGCCTCCTAACACGGTTAGCCTTGAATTTTCTTGCACATTACCTCTCCCAACGTGATCTGTTTGATGTTCTTTAGCGATATTTTTGTGCGCTATTGAAGCTGTATTATGTGATTTACTCAAAAGGTCTTCGAATTTTCTTCGCAAGGCTACTTTAGCATTAGACCTAATAGAGTTGCAAATCAACACTGACCCGCTCACTATTCTCCTCCAGAGGTTGTCCTCCAAATATTTAGCACAAAAGTTTTCCTTCGTCTCGCACTTCTTCCACTTGGCGAACATCTGGTTTTGTCGGCTTCGTAGACAAGTGTGTAGTATTCGCAATGCGACGTCCAATACTTGGTGACTGTCCTCTGGTAGACCGCATACGTCGTGTAGTCGTCTTCGTTTGATGAAGTTAGGAACGACTTGATGTTTTAGACAGCGTCAGATGGTCTGGAAAGTACTACGCTCAAATAAGAGGGTTGGCAATGGGACAACGACTGGCTCCAAGCCTTGCCATTGCATTTATGTCTAAGGTGGAAGCACCGGTGACTGATCTCGGGGAGCTACTCTACTGTAGGTATGTAGACGACTGCTTTGTCCTTTGCTCAACACAAGAGGAATTGGACAAATGCTTCGAATTGTTAAACGCACAGTCAGAGTATATCAAGTTCACCCGAGAAAAGCCGAAAAAAAAATGGCTTCCATTTTTGAACGTACAAATTCACCTATCAGAAAATGGCTACATTACAAAGTGGTACCGAAAGCCAAGTAGTAAAAACATCTTGGTTCATTACCTCTCCTCTCACCGCTCTCACACGAAAAGGGCGCTTATAAAAAACATGTTTCGAACAGCAACCAACGTGTGCACGGGAAGAGAGCAGAGAGAGGAGTCCCGGAACTTGGCACGGCAAATAGCCGTTTCTAATGGCTACGAAGCTGTAGTTCAGAATAGGTGTAGAGGAAATCGTAGGC